ACTCTATCTGCTTCTGCATTTGACGAGTTATCTAGCTCTGTCCGTGCCTGAGTCTATCTATGCAGTCAACTAGCTAGAAAATCCCTCTTCCCTTTACTTTTTTCTCTTTTGCTGAGCCGTGACTGGGGAGTAACGCTTCACATCCACCCCCGCTGCTCATCACAAAGCAAGAACTGTAAGGCCTTGATAGAGTTCATTCTGATATTCGATTCTTTTAAGCGATGATGATGGGAGCGGCAGGTGAAATGAATTTCCTTCAACGAATGAAGAGTGTAATAGGACACGCTCTCATGAAATTCTTCTGGAAAAGGTGAAGCTCTCCTGTCTTCTTCCTTTGCTTTTTGTAACCCCAAATCTTGTTCATTGCAGACTGATTGCTGATCCTGAAACAGAGCTGTTTCGGCAGATGATTCACCCTGATTTTCCGGATTTACTCGACTTGGCATCTAAGTGCCCCCTGGTAAGAAGTAGCCGATTGGTGTGAGGACTTGAGAAGCGTATGCTGTAGAAGGCTCATTAGTTCTATTCCCCACAAGGCTAAACCTGGCTCAAAGACTAACTGTACAGTCACATCCGCGGACGATCTTTTCCGTGCGTAAGGTGAATGGATTGGCAGCTGCAGTAGCGTGTAACTTTCTTCACCCAAAAGTACACGGGAATGGGGCTGAGGCGTCGCGATACATTAGTGCCATTTCCCGGCACCGCTTCGATGCTGCACGACTAGCCATGCACGCCACTATGTGGGACGGAGTGACCGGTAGCGCAGCTTCTTGTCAGGTCGAGTGAGCCTTATGTACATTCCTTCCTCGGCTATATGGCGCAACGCGCATCCGGTAGGGATAGGGGATATCGTCCTATACTCTCTCGCAAACTATTGCATAGGCGGAAGCATATTCCAAAGCACCAAGGTTCCAAATGGAAGTAGAATACGTGTCGCATTCCAAATAAGGACGAATCAACGTTAAAGATTCAAATTTGTGGCTCTACCTTACGTAGAGCACTATAATTTACAGGTTCCGATGCTGAGGGAGGGTGATCATGGACGATTTGTCGGAAAGGAATAGAGGTTCAAATACGGCCCGAAAATCAGCAGGAGGTCCCTTTCGGGGAAAAGGTCGATTTGTGTTAGAGGTAGTGAAGATACCCGCCAGCTGCTTTTTATCTGTGTGACTGATTCCACACATGGCCTCTGCCTAACATTTAAACAAGCACACGCATTGCATCTGTTCTTTAATCAACAATTCCTATTGTATGGTTACCACTGGTCCTTTCTGATTCCCAGGAACATTGGCGTCCTAAACCGGACTTTCGTTTCGCTCTTCTATGCAGCCGCCCTCACCACAAGATTCTCACAGTGACTAAAAGACATTTAGGTGATGGCGAACACCAACGATCTTTATGAAATGCCTCGGCCAACACTTGCCAAAGTGGTGAGCATTGGTGGAATTGGTATGGAAACACGAGATGTAAAGCCACTACCCAAGGTATATTCTTCGTACTGCGAAACTCACACCGGACGCTGATTATATGGGCGGAGCCTAGCAATCTCTTTCTTCTTTTTCCCTTGGTCTTAAGAGAAAGGATGCTCCCACAAGGAAGGTATGATCTTCAGCTGAGCTCCGCCCATATGATCAGTATGGAATGTGTTGGAAACCTTCTCTTACCTGCTCGCATTCAATTCAGGACATCGAAGAAATAATGCAAAAAGGAGACGGAACTTTGCTATTTTCTTTCGGTTCAGTCGCCGCTGCACATAAAATGCCTGAGGAATGGAAGGCGATTTTCTTGAAGACGTTCAAAAAACTTTCAAATTACCAGTTCCTGATGAGATATGATAAGGATGATTTGAATGGTAACAGTGGAATCCAATTCCTTTGATTTATTCAGGGATATTTTGAAGTGAGGTGTGTGTCAGGAGATCAACGTTGCGGAGGACCACCTACTATTTCGTAGCTGGTTGACCCGTCATAATGGCTTCATCGTAAATCAGTCAGATGCTGGAGCGAATGCCGCCCACATGACGCCTTTTACTATGCCGCTTTCGACGCATCGTGGATCTCCCAACCAATATCTCACATGTTATGATACTCAAGCAATGGCTCCCTTTCAGATAATCTCCCAGAGAATGTCCATCTATTCAAATGGCTTCCACAGTCCGACATCCTTCAACATCCGAAAACTAAGGCATTCATCACTCATGGAGGATATAACAGTGTTCAGGTAAGCATTGATGAACCAAATTTGGTTCTGGGAGAAAATAGGGGCTCATGGCAGTTCCGTCCAGTTGCCAATCAAATGCCACTCGTTTCGATAGCGTCGCCTTGCAGAATGCGCGCAAAGGCGCATCAGGATCAAATACAGCGCCAAAGAGATCTTCTCTACAGAAGTCAGAGGGTCGTCATTCACTCTCTCCCTACTGCACTACCATCTGCACACAGTAGACCTCATTGGGATTCCCGCCCCACATAGCCACACCCCTTTCTGCTCCGTTGTGCCGAGAACACATTTGACGCATTCGCCTCCTACCCAGATGCTTTCGAAATTTTGCTGTCGAGCAGGGAGAGGAAGGGGGAGGGGAGTAGACATCTCCTACCAAACGTCACAAAGAGCATTTTTCTCGGGCCGCAGTCAGGGAATAGGTTGATATCGACGCAATGCAGCGGAATGGTGACAGGAGGCGTGAACTGAGCTTACCTGCGGCGACTGCTACCATTGGTTCTTTGCCGCCTGAACTGGCTGCGACGAGCAAAGAACACAGCCGTAGCTACCCCCATCGCCGCTTGCAATTATATGATTTCTGTGAAATCCCTGATATGCAGGTGGGCGTGACTGCGTTATTCACTTAATGATGACGGCGACTGCGCTTTGGGTGGGATATATTCGTTTTGGGACAATTCTGGGCATTTTTCTGTCCAGCAGAAGACAAAATAACAGCTGTTCCAAATTGAAATCAGCAAATTATTTGTTTCCTCATGCTTCATTACGTTACAGGAAGCGATCCGTGGAGGTGTACCGTTAATATCCATCCCATTGTTTGGTGACCAACAACAAAAATGCTCGTTTGGCTGAATACCATGGTTTCGGTTTTGTTATGAATAGGAATGACCTCAGTACCTCCACACTCTCACATGCTATTGAAGAGGTCACCCTGAACCCAAAGTGAGTTTTGTTTCTAAGTTGAGAACAATCTCATCATCATTGGAACATTTTTGGTCCTGAACAGACTAAAAGGTTCACGTCTTATTCGCTGCGGATGCTGGGGCGTGTCAGGTAGGCTCGATTTGGCGCGGCTCTAGTCCAATGTTCAGCAATTGTTGTCACTTTCCCTTTCAGCACGTAGTGGAAAACAGGCTGGCGCCGTGCCAGACCTAGCCTCCCTGACGCCCCTTCCATCCGTAGCGAACAAGACTACAGCCGTGATCCCTAAAAACGATAGGGCGTGTAGCCGAAGGTAGGTCGTGTAACGGAGTGTGGACTGGAGCACTATCAAGGAGGCTCTCCCCACTAATAATATCACCCTTGAATCCGCAACAACCGGCGAAAAACGCTGTTCTGGCTCCAACACACGCCCCTTCACGCGCCCTATCATTTGCAGGGATCATGACCACATTTTTTGCGGACTTTTCTACTGTCATTATCCCGTTCAGGTACATGAAGAGCGCCAAACGATTGTCGCAGATGATTGAACGTCAACCGATTAGTCCCGTGCACCTCCTTGTGAAATGGTCCGAATTCGCAGCCGAATTCAAAACGCTTGAAAATCTCGAGCCAGCAGGAAACAGGCTGAATTTCTTCCAGTATCATTCTTTGGATGTAATCGCGTTCTTCACCGCAATTCTAGCTGTGATTCTTCTAGTTCTTATTAAGATCGTCAAGGTCCTATGGGTATTTATTTCAAGCAGATGTTTCATAATCAAAAAAAGAAAAGGTGGCATAGGCATTTTTACTGTAATTTTGTCTTCCGTGTCATTCAATAAATTAATTCTATTGAATTCCATCCAGGCTCAAGTGAACCTGAAGGGAAGTGGCACGATAAAGGCTCAAGACATGTAGGTTTAACACACCTAGCAGGGCAGAATTGGGTGCCCCTGATAAGGCTGTGTGGTCCCTTTTCCCACCAAGGTCACCGTTCCACCAAGGTGCAACATGCCAACCCAGACGCCCATCGCAACGAACGCCCACAACTTCCCATCAACGTGCCGACCTATCTAGGCAGCCTCTTCTCGAGTTGACAGGTTTTACCATGATGGCTAGATGAGCTTGCTCCAGCTTCACAAGAGTTCACAGGTTTCGCCAGAGTGAGACTTGTAAACCGGAACTAGGGAAGCAATGAAAGCGAAATGTGCCCCCTCCCGGGTGTGTGTCAGGACTCACCGCCGCGCCCGAAACTATGGTCGCCGCGCTGGGAAGATGGGTCACCGCGCGCGGCGATTACATGCTTCAACT